TACTACATTACAAAAGAAACCTTCACAATCAAGTTCCAACGTAAATCTTCATAACCCTAAATCTCACAACCCCGATAACGTAAATCTCCACATCATTACAAAAGGAAACCTGTACAATCAAGTTCTTAATGGTTACGTTTTTGTTATGTAAATCTTCATAACAATATAAAAGGAAACCTCCACAATCAAGTCCATAGTAACACTATTGATTTTGTTTTGTTTGTAAAAATCCCTAGTGTATTTTAATTATCTTTGGTGTATCTTGCATCTACCTCTAAGTACCCCACCAAATAACATTTCAAGAAGTGGTATTATTTTAACTTTTATTGAAAAATGATTTTTGTCCTTCTTTCACTAAAAAAAAAAGCCTATTATCTACAAAATATTACGTACGGATAAAAATCCGTACGTAAATTGTACATTACATACAGATAAAAATCCGTAGATAAATTATACATTACATACAGATATTATCTACGGATAAAAATCCATAGGTAATTATTCATTACCTATGGATATTATCTACGGATAAAAATCTGTGGGTAATTATTTATTACCTACGGATATTATCTACGGATAAAAATTCGTGGGTAATTATTTATTACCTACGGATAATATTCGTAGGTAATGTCGATGACTGACAAAATTCGAACTCAATAACTTAGAGTTAAAGATTGATACTTCAACCATTAAACTACTAAATTTTTTTAATAATAACTTACAAATAAGTTATACTTATTTACAAATAAATCTATATCCATGTAAATATATAAATATGTAAATATATATATATATATATAAATATATAAATATATAAACATATAAACATATAAATATATAAACATGTAAACATATAAATATATATACATATAAATATATAAATATATCAAAATATAAATATATTTATATTTATATATTTTATATTTATATATTTTATATTTATATATTTACACGGATAAATATAATTTATTTATAAATCAGCCTCTAATTCTAAAATACCGGGTTTGATTCCTGTCAATGATAATTCTTTTAAAATGTAATAAATATAATATAAAAATATTTTATTCAAGCGAATGCATTACCTATGAATTTTTGCCGTAAATAATAAGCATTTTTTTGTAGTGTTTTTATTCATATTTCTTTTTATCTTAGGTTATTATTGTTTATTTAACATTTTCTCCATTAGTATTTCTTTGTATTTTTCATAATTTTGTTTATGTAAAGTGAATCATGTTTAAATGCAAAGAAAGAGAGGTTACAAAACATTAAAGAAAACAAAATTAGAGGTTTTGGGATTGATACATAATGCTTATCTTTTGAAAGTCAGAAGAACTAAATGTATAAAGGAAGGATAAAGAAAAATTTGAAGAGGATGATGAATAACATAAACCCAAAAATATAAAAAAAAAACTTTCAAGCTTCAAAAGAAGATGAAATGGATGATGAAACAAATGTAAACATTATTTCTTATTCTCTTATGTAATTGATCAGTATTTTTGTAATATCTTATTAGTTTTTTAATCATTAACTCTTTTATTTTGTAGATAATAAGACCATCAAAATTAAATTCTAAAAGAGTCCTAGCTTAATAATCATAATCTTGAATAAATTACAGGTACTTGGATAACATATCTTTTAAAATTTTGTAAATTATTTATTAAAGTTATTACTAATTTATTTTTAATAATTTATTTTAAACAAATATATTGTGTTTAAGGAGATGTGGGCATCCTATAAATGTAAACCTTGAAAAGAAAAGGGCAAAACTAATGATAATGAACAAAGAGTTTGATATTCAATTTCCTCCTCCATACTTTAAATTATGTGGAAAACATGTCAAATATTTTAAAGTTGAAGGAAGCGTATGTTGGAAGAGAATAAAGATCATGCAATGAAACAATTGCAGAAATAATATATAAACATTATTGTTTGTATCAATATATATGTTGAAAACAAATGTAGGCCATAAGATGTACTTCTATAAGTGATTGAAATTGGTTGATAAAGAACGAATGGAATGAGAGGTAAAATTTCTTTTATTATATATTTTAAATTTGAAATTGATTTTATATGTAATTTTATGTCATGATATAAAATATTTTATGTATTTATGTAGGAAATGAGTTGAAAAATAAAGCATTTGAAATAGTATTGTTGTTTTTACGTTTTATATACACAAATTTTATATGGTTCTTTTTATATGATTTCTTGTGTAGCATATATACAAGTTTATTTTTTATTGTTACTTGTTTATTTAAATAGGACTTTATTTAAGATACAAAATACCTAATATTTTTACAAATTCATAAGATATGTATTTTATTTTAATTTATTTATTCAATTTATATTATTTTTTTATTTAATTTAACCTTGTGTCATCTTATTTAGGAAGAATAAATAAAGAACAACGCATGACCAAATGCTCGGTTGTGGAAGTATGGAAAGCTACACATCGTATGAGATATGATGCTACATGGTGTATTCCAAATGGAGAATAAATCATGATAAGTAAAAAAATAATTTAATTTATATTTTTATAGATTTACTCATAAGTTAAAATTTAGAAAATATATTTTTTCTTGTTAATATTTTAAAATTTAAAAAGATATAGTGTTAATATATTATAACATTTTTATAATGTAAATTATTTTCTCTTAACATTTGATAGGACAATTTGAAGAATGTGGGGGAGACATAAAGAGGAAATTTCAAAAGCACTTATTCCATTGATTAAGTACTTTCAATTTATTTTATGAACAAAACCAAATTACTCACAAGATATAGGGCATAGCATCAATGACAAATTTTTTTTATAGAAAAACAATTTATTCAAAGTTAAGTGGAAGATGCACAAAAAGAACAACTGATTTAGAAATAGAAGTGCAAAAATTAACTAATACTAATATTTAATTTCAACATGAATTGTAATATTAAGGTAAATGTCTTTAAGATCAACAAGTTATTATGAAGCAAGATATTAAAAAAGAAATAAAATATCAAATGACTATTTTATTAGTTAGTTTATCATTCCTAAGAGTATTAATGATTCCATTATTTTATTATTTTAATTTTTCACTCAAATATCTCCAATAGTTACATATTTATATATCTAAAATTTTGTTAATTATTTTTTATTAATATTAATTATTATTTTTTATTTTTTTTAATTTTGCAAAAACTTCTTAGATACTACAAATTGTTATTATTTTTTTTAATTTAGAAATAATTATTTATTTTTAATAGTTTGAAATAGAAATATATCCAGTTCTTTGTGATCTTTGAATTTAGAATCTTGTTAAATATTTATTGTGTTTTAGTTTTTATCATTATTTATAATGTAATGGATAATTTATGTTTGAATATTTATTTATTTTAATATTTTAAAATAATTTAACTATTCATTATAACTTTGAAATATGAAGCTTCAAGACTTACATATCATCTATCTTTAATAATTTAATGATTGAATAATAAATTTATAACTTTTAGTGATATATATTTAGATCACCATAATTAGTGTTTTTTTTGTAATGCTATACGTTCAAGCACCCACGGAATGGAGGAATCCTCTTTCTCTCCACTCTTACCATATGAGGCAATTTCCTCCCCTCTTTTTTTTTTTTTTTTTTTTAATTTCTTACTTCACAATCATCATGTTATGTTGATGTATATAATGGTATATTTTCTTGGGATTGTTTGTTACACCATTTACTCAAGGCTCGAAGCTTTGGTGATGGGAAGTTGTTTGTTCTAAAAATATTGAAAACTTCACTCTTTTGGTGGAGTTTTAATTAAACCTTTTAACATATTAGGAGCTTGATATTCTCAAACTTTTTTACTTGAAGATCGACGTAGATAAAGAAAACTTGGAAGTGGAATAAAACTTAAACCAAAGAAAACAATTTTTGTCACTGTTTTTCGTGCATTTGGTTGTGGCTTTTTCTTTGGTAATTTGAACAAAACAATTATAGCTTTATGAGTTGTGAAAATACAGAATCAAGAATTTTTAAAAAAGGTTTTGAAATGAAAAATTACGAATTTTCACACATTAATTTAATTAATCTTAATTTAAATTTAATTTCTGGAATTTAATTTACAAACATTTTACAGAAAAGTTTATATATTCTAATTTAAATAATATACTTTTACATTTTTTTCAATTTAAAATATTATATCTTTCAGTAATTATTTATAAAATATTGATTTCATATTGTTATTTATTAATAAGATATTATTATTATTATTATGTGATTTACTATTTTTCTTTAATATATTTCTACTGTTTTAGATTTTATAGTGTTATATTATTAGTGTATATATATAATTATTTTTTCTTTCAATATTATAGTAGTAGGTTACAATTTTTTAAAAATTAATATTGTTAATATTTATTTGTATAATTTTTTTATGTTTACATTTATTTTTAAATTAAAATATTATAATATACAATTATAAATATTAATCACTACTTTTATTGCCAATGGTGCAATATTTACTATAGTTTGACGTGACATGCTATAGTGAAATCTAAACCAAAATTAATATTCGTATAGGGTAGAGCAGTGAATCTAGCTGGACAGTAAAAACAACTATGTGACAGCATGCGTTATCAAATCCACTGGAAATTGTTTTCATAGATGGAGACTTTTAAGCTCTATGGTCTACCCAAGATGGAGAAATATATTCATATTCATTCAACCATCATTCCCCATCCTTTGAACAAATCACTCTATTGTGACATGTTTGGATGTGAAAATAAGGAAAGAGAAAAGCTGGGTTTTTCTTTAGCAGTTGGGTAAATAAAATGAAGAGAAAAGTATTACGTAACTTGTTTAATTGTTAAAAAAAGTACATTGCATAGAAGTTACTTTGAGCATTTGAAATCAAAAAAAGAAATGCCCGGGTACATGGGTCAGTATTATAAGTAAAGATCTCTACTTAACAGGAAAATTTATTCAGGAAAACTGGGGTGATGGGTGTGATCAAGAAAAGGTCCACAACTAGTCCATTAATTCACTCACACAGGAACCCCTAACTCGTTGATCTTCACTATCCGTTTGTTCAGCGCAGATCTCTGACGCTTCAAATTTGAAACCATAGAAGCAACCTGTTACGTGTTTTGAGGCAGAGAGAAAAGAATAAGAAATGAGCATATTACTGAAATTTTGGGAAACACAGATAAAGTTGGCTTGCCTCAGCTCGAAGTGCCAGAGCTTCACGACTAGGTACATAGCGCAGCTTGTCTAGCAAATCTAAAGCATGGTAAACGAAGGTAAATTCCAAGTCCACAATATATATATACATATATAACATAGTAGCCAAAGTAAAAATAAAGGCGTAAAGGAACTCATGATTTTCTTAAAACAAAAAGGAATGAAAAAAGATGGGATTAAAATTTTTTACTTTTGTGTATAAAAGAATTAAAATCTTGCTACATTGTTACTTAAATCCTTTACACTATCAACTAAACTAAAATCACCTTAAATATGACTGCTGAAGTAATTATTACAAGAGTCAACAGTTTTAATTGTACAGTGATTCATGATCAATATATTCTAGTTAAATTCAACATTTTATCTCAAGTTACTTAAAAAGAAAGAAGAGAGAAAGACAGCAGAATACCGGCAGCGCGGGTTTCAACCTTGTATGCTGATTTTGCCAGCTGTTGAAATTGGGTTCCAGCGCTCCTATAGACATTTATTGAAATTAATAAACTTCAAGCATACTTCAGCAGTAATAAAAGAAGTCACAGCCTTCTTAAACTGATAATACATACAGTAGTTCGGTATGCCCGTATTTCATTTCCTTCTCAGCAAGAGCTGTCCTTTGAAGCAATTTTACACTCTCCTTCTTCAGTAAATCCACTGAAAGGTTCAAGTCCTTTATATTCTTCTCAGTTCTAGCATACCGTGCCTTCATACACATTCACGTGAAAAGGTGAAAAGAAATAACAGAATTTGTACCGGAGAAATATTTCTTAATGCAGAACTTTTATGAAATCATGATACAAGATATGGAAAGAGCAGGTCATGCATCGCAATCAGAGAGGACCAGTAGGCAAGAACACAGGTAAGGGATGCATCTTGATCGTTCAACTGATTAATACCTCCTCACTCTGGAATCGACCCAATGTATTACGAAACAGAAACCTTCTTGGGCCTGCAAAACCATAAACCAATTCATTTTGAAGCAAATACAAACTCCATCGAGACTTGAGATACAGAAAACAGCATGAAAAAACTGGTTTCCATCATAATCAATCTAGTGCAGAAGAGTCATAATGATTTCCACACGGATGCAACAAACACACATACATGTATACCTCACTATATACACAGATCAATCAATTCTACTGGGCTAAAAAAAAATAAAAAAATTCTAGCAAAGTTAGTTTTAAATGGTAATAGACCTTTATTGTGCCTTAACCAGTTTCCCTTTACTTTAAACTTTTAGCTCAATCTTGAAATCTTCCATTCCATATTTAAAGATTTTTTGAAATTATTGTGTCTTGACGTCCAAAATTTGAGCAACTGACCACGAGCACCATTAATAGATTGATATTCAATCAGTCAATATTCTCTAGGTTAAATTACTTTCATAAATGTGGACTATTTGCTAATTTTTAATTAGGCCCTACCCTAATCCTCTTTTTTTTCAATTGGATCCTTAAACTTGAATTTGTTTTTTAATTGAGCCATTTCAACTTCCTGCAAAGAAAACCTAATCATATGGACATAATTAGTTTCTATCATCACATATGCAGGTTTGCACCGAGTGTCCTGACCTCTTCAGGTTTTAATCCAGTATTTTTCAACCTGGTTCTTTAACCACAATATTCACACCTCCGCAAGTCCACTCAACCCAAATATTCTTTCACATGTTTCTCTAGACTTAACCCTACAACAACATTATTGCAAACTCACATCTTGAACAATTATTTTTTTGTAACAGCAGTTAGTCGGAAGGATCCAATTAAAAAATAAATAAGTTTAAGGACCCAATTAAAAAAAAAAAAACAGTTCAGAGACTTATTAAAAATTGTCAAATAGTTCAACAACCTATATATCAATTAAACCTACTTTTTAATACTGAAAATTCTAAAAGCTGGTGTCTAAAATGTCATTATACTATTGAAATTTTTCAAGAGGAAAGTTTTCTGGAATATATTATGAATATTTTTTATCCTTGATCAGGCAAATCTTCTTCCATATATTCTGATTTCTTGATTGTATATCAACTAAAAACAACTTATTCATTTAAGTCTTCATTTGGTAAATCAGATTCCTTTTGAGGATCTATGATTCATCAGGATATTGTATATTGGTGCAGAAGCCCCAGCTACAGTGATGTGTTACTCTAGACTACTTTCCTTCACTGCAGGCTCGAATATGATGTTTGTTACTGTGATGTGTGTTATCATGCATGACAAATCATCACGCATATGCCAAAAAAAATTCCATTTCCACTCTAAGCCTCACCATATCTTTAATACCACTTAATGCAAGGAGTGTAGAAACTAGCAGCTTCGTAACAGAATTACAGCTAAAGTTGGGAAAATAAGTCTAAACCAAATTGTATATTACCAAGACTAATTGTATATTTGTAGGAGGATAATTGCATATTACCACATCTAAGCCAAAATATATAAATCCCATCTAAACACAACTTTTCAGTCATTAAAAGCTCAAATGCTAGTTATGTTCCTAGTTACTACAATGGAAACTACATTGGAAACAAAACCAAAAGTAAACAAGAAAATGACCGAGTACATAAAGAAAAGTCCAGTGTTCTTGTATTAGTTTCACAAGTTTTGCCACAATATAGTACCTTGTATCAAGATGCATAAATATTGAATTGAACCCCAAGAAAAGCTGAGCTGCCCAAGTAAAATGTTACTTGTATGTGCAAATGATAGGAAAATAATTACCTCGCATAACCAAAAGAGCAGCAGAAATTGCTACTCCTGCACCTAAAGCTGGGTTCTCCTTTGCAATCATCAGTCCATCTGCGAAAGGGTAAGACGTAATAATCTAAACCAGTGTTAAATATGAAAGATTACCACAGAGCAGAAATTACACAGATGCAACTATGGCCACCAACTTATTTGAAGATTGATAAGATTCAGTATGTTAACTCATTTAAGAAAAAGAAATTTAAAATAAGGTTCATAGCATTATCCTTATGTAAAAAATAAAATGCACAAGATATCCTCACTCCTCTGAGTGCTAGACGAGACTGGAGAGTCCTTTACCACTAGAGTTAGAAAAATATCCTATCAAATAATAACAGGAAATAAATAAATAGAATAAAACCATGAAAGGCTCAAGTATAGAAAGAGTGCATGATCTTTCTGCAAAAGTGTAAGTGAGAAACCTTGGAGAAATAGTTATCAATTGAACACAAAATAGATGCCATAAACATAAGCTTTGACATAACAAGTTTAGGTACAAAGAGCAATCCAAAGACATGCAAACATATGGCATATTTTACCCACTGCCATAAAAAATTAAACTTACTTTTTCCAAAACCTTTATACTAAACCAACAAAACAGATCATAAAAGTGTGAAGACATAACCAACACTCAAAAGATCAATACTATCACTTTTTAATCACCTTTAACTTTATTGATGAAAGCATCTTCATATGTTCTATACTGTGATACTGCTTCTGGTACAAAATTCTGCAAAAAAAATCATGCATAACTAGATGAGTTATGGAGCCATTCATATTTTATCAAGGGTAACAAAAAATCAAGCTTCATTACTTTGGACAGAGCAGGTTAAATTATATGATAACGTGTTATTCAAGCTCCAAATTTCCAAACGACAATTAAAAGAATCAGGAAATTAAATTATAAATATAGTTTTAATGTTTGGCTGAATAATCTAGACAACATAAAGAACAAGTATAACATAGCTGATATAATTTTAAAATTACGTAGATCTAAATTACAGACTAATATTTCATTACAAACACAAAGATAAGGCGGCAACTGTGTTTCACTCAATGAAAATCAGGATAGTAAACATAATAGTGATGACTGGCTACTAGACTACCAGATGATATTACCATAAACCATTCAAGATACAAATAATATTTGATACTAGGCTACTGGGCCATTAGTAAAAATAATAACAAATTTTGTTAATTGTGCTCTATGTAGATAAAATGTTAAATATTGATGGAAAAAAATGTCATAAAGAATATTACCATTTATCCCCGAGAATTATCCTACTAATAGAGAAATAAGAGAAAAACAATCAACACAATAATATAACGTGGAAACTCCAAAAACTGGAGAAAAACCATGACCGTTATCTAATGATAACCAGAGAATAACACTATATGAAATTTTTTACAATACATAGACAACTCTCTCATGCCCTTGACCCCAAGTACACTCACACTCTCCAAAGCAAGAATTTAAACTAAACCTCACAACACTCTACTACAAGAGTATAAGAAAAGTCAAATACAAGTTCAAAGTGTCTTTGACTGGGGTGAGAAACCTCATGGACTTTAAGTCTATTATATAACTATTATCACCTATCCAATGTGATGTAGGACTTTTCAAGATGTAATATTTTCATCAATCCAACAATCTTTACCATGATTAAAATAAACACATCTTTCTTTTTATCTCCATTTCCTACACTAACAATCATCCATACTCCACCATAAAGAATATACTCACTTGAAATTAAATCATTCCAAGAATTTCCTTTCACTGCATCAATGCTAATTAATGCTCGTGTATAATCACACCACACACTTTACATCAATATTATCCAATGCTTTTGCACAATTACCGCTAGTAAAAACTCACAATTTTCCATGACAACGCGGTTATGCCATGAGGATATTTAACTCATCTTTTTACCAAAGATTACCCTCTCCCAACATGAGAGAGATAGTCTCTGAATCTGACTTACAGTTTTGTGATGTTTCTTCACTTAGACAATTTTTCTTTACATGCCCAGAATTTCCATATTTCCAACATACCACATTCTTTCTATGGTTCTTGTTCCCATGTGTTCCACTCCTAACAGTCATCATTGAGTTTGTTGGCATGTTTGTCGTTCTTCTCTCTTCAGAAAAAATCTTACCAGCAACTTTATCAAAGCTCAAAGTTTCCTTACCATACATAAAGACAGACTTGATAAGCTCATAGGAAGACGGAAGAGACCAAATGAGTCTTAATGCTATATCTTCTTCAATCTTGACTCCAATAGCCTCTAATTCAGAGACAATCTCATTAACATTACTAAGATGATCAGAGACTTTTGTATCATCACCCATGCGTAAGTTATGAAACTTCTCCTTCAACAACAATCGATTTGAGATGCCCTTTGCTTGATAAAAGTCTTCGAGTTTCTCCTAAAATTCCTTTGTCGTTGACATCTTCTGCACATTTGTAAGAACATTCGTGGCCAAACACAAGCGAATTGCACTTGCAACTCTCAAATCTAGTTCCTCCCATTTCTCTTCCTCCATGTCAGAAGTTCTTTCTTTTAACACCTTGTGTAATCCAGATTGTATCAGCACATCTTTGACTTGAGTTTGCCACAAACCAAAATGGATCCTTCCATCAAATTTCTCTATGTCACATTTGACAACACTTGCAAATGACATTGCAACTTTAGCAATCAAGGATCACTCTCTAGCAAGAAGGAATTAATATTTTCTGATGTGGAAGATCAAACTAAGCTGCAACCACAAAGCATACTAAGAAAAATCCTACTGAACCATAAGCTTCAATACCACTCTGATGGGAAAAAACATCATAAAGAACACTACCATTTATCCCCGAGAATTACCCTACTAATAGAGAAATAAGAGAAAAACAATCAACACAAGAATATGAGGTAGAAACTCCAAAAACCGAAGAAAAACCACGACTGTTATCTAATGATAACCAAAGAATAATACTATGTGAAAATTTTTACAACACATAGACAACTCTCTCATGCCTTTGACCCCAAGTACAACCACACTCTCCAAAGCAAGAATTTAAACTAAACCTCACAACATTCTACTACAAGAATATGAGAAAAGTCAAATACAAGCTTAAAGTGTCTTTGAGTGGGGTTAGAAACCTCATGGACTTTAAGCCCATTATATAGCTACTTTCACCCACTCCATTGCTTATCCAATGCGATGTAACCCAACAAATATTTAGTGAAAGACCCAAAGTATGTGTGAAAGACAGGTATGTCTTCAATAATTAACTCTCTCCAGCAAAAGTAAACTAAACTTGTGAACAAGAAATTCCAAAACAATAAGATAACAAATAAATGATAAAGTTGGGTGACTCATAATATTTTTAATGTTTAAAAATCTTGATTGAATACTAAATTGACTCATAATATTTTTGCATTAGCATCATACAATGCCGTAGTGGTGACTGGCGGAGCAACAAATAATTCAACCCTACAGTATAAAATTTGTTTTACACTCATAACCTATTCTGTCCTTGAACAGAAGTTCGTAGACTAAACTTAAGGCGATCCTTTTGTTTCTCTCGTCCCTTTCTTTCCGTTTGATTTCAGTAGATAAGAAGAGAGGAATGGAAACCCTCACTCAATTCAGCATTCACCTTCTAACAAACTAAAAAATAAAATCAGAAAACAGGGAATATTATACGTCTACATTGCGTATAACGAAAACAAAAAAGAAGATATCTACGAGATGAGACGAGAAGAGGAAGGGAAACCTGGAAGGCACGGAAATGAGTTGAGGAGCTCTGTTGCACAGTTCGAGCCGATTCAATGGCAGACCGATGAAGATTCTCCGCAATGGAGGCCAGCGATGGCGCGGGTTCTGAGGACACGTCTACATCTGAAGAGGACGACGAATCTTCCTTTGCCATTGTCCGGTAGGGCGTGGGTTGCACTGCACTCCACTGGGTGGCTGACCCGATGAGGTATCTACACACAAACTATGCCTAATTAACAAGCACAATTGACTTAACTGCATTTTAATGTGTATTACAATTACAATTAAATTAACAATAATACTTTTTTTCTTAATTTAATTTCTACGAATCTGTTCGTATTTTTTTACTGTATTTTTATTTTAATAGATTAAAAATTAACATATGTATTAATTTTAAAATGTGAATATTTTTAAAAATTTACATTTCTATAAATAAATAAATATGAGATGTAATTTGAAAACAAATAAAAAAACATATATAATAAAAAATAAATGATATTTTTTATTATATTTATTAATTTGTATTAAAAAATTAAGATTAAAAGTATAACAACTATTTTCAATTATTTTTATTTATATTAATCAAATTCAAAAAATTATTTTTAATTAACTTTACTTATATTAAAAATAAAAAAAAAACATTCTGACTGAAAAAAATATAAGAAAAAAATATATTAAACGACGTGAAAATTGACTAAAGGAAACGCATATCCTTATATTTTCTATAATATAATTTGTTTTTAAATATTTTTTTATTCTTTAGATATATTTTTTTTTCTATTCATTACCCCTTATAAAATAATATACATATAAATCAAATGATAATCAATAAATTAATTATATTATAAAATTTATAATAAATTATTTAAATTACACATTTGATATAATAACGTATATTATAGTTATTTAAATTTATTCCTATTCATAATTTTGTATTAACTATATTAATAAAAATATATCTTATTTAATCTATTATAATATATGTTATAATAATAATAATAATATATAATTAATATAACAATCAAATATAAATATTTCTTAAAATATTTGAATAAGAATCTTATTTATAAGATAATTTTTTTTATATATATATATATATATATATATATATTAATTTTGATTATCTTAATCTTATATTAATCTAATTGAAGTATGATTATAGATAAATTTTCCACATTTTTTTAATATTGAGGAGAAATCGATTCAATAAATTTTAATATAAAAACTACTTAAATTCATTTATTCGAATTTATTGACCGATTTTATTATAATTTATTTATTATTATTGTATCTTTTCCATAACAACATTCTAAATTTTTATTTAATAATTATATATTATTCCTATATTCTAAAAGTAAACCAATATAATAATAATAATAATAATAATAATAATAATAATAATAATAATAATAACTTGATTATTAAAGATATTGTAAAAATATATTTATATTGACATTATTATATTTCAAAAATATATATAGATTAAACAAAATAAATTAACAGAGTTAGATATTTAAGAATTTATAGTATACATAATAGTGTAAATGGATAATTTAGCTGTTAAATATATGATGCTTATCACTTTATTCCTTGAAATGATGAAATATTTCTTTTATTTCTTAAATATGTAAAAAAAATATAATTATATTTTATCGTTAAATTTTAAAAACTAATTTTTATTAAAATATAATTTTAAAGACTAGCTTAATAATACATTGATGAATATTTTATTATAAAATCTAAATTTTTAATTTTTGCATAATCAAAATTTTCATTTTTTTAAAATAAAATAATAACTCTAAATAATACAGATAAAATGAATGTAACTTGAGTGATTAAAAGATTTTTTTTACTGGTTATAATAATATTTGAATTACGTGTCCAAATGAGAAAAATACCGAGAAAGGGAACTCTCACGTGTAGTCAATGTAAGTCTCAAATTTTGTTTTTCAAAAAAAAAATTACATTAATATCTTATATAACGCAAAAAACATTAGAAAAATATAGCACACTACAAATCTTTAAGGTAATAAGAATTTGTATATTATAAAATTTAATATTCAAAACTTGCCTTTTTAGAGTGAGAAAATATATTTTAAAAAATATATTCATTTTAATTTTTATTAGATATAATTTATTTTATAATTTTTAATTAGTAAAAAATAAAGTATATATTTTCCTGATGTAAATATGAAAACAATTCATCTTAGACTATCTTGTCTGTTGTTAAACGTTCGAATTACTGTAGACGAGTATTGACTATTAAATGTGTCAATTATTATAATTATTTTTTTAAATTAAATTAAGTAGATTATATTTTTTATTATATTATTTGAATACTTTACAAATAAATTAGAATAATAATTTAAACTATTAACACTTATAGATCGAGTTTCAATTATTAATTACAATAATTAAAAACAATATTCTCAATTCAAATAATAAATATTAATTAATTAGACGTTTTAAAAGATATTAATTAATCAGTTTAGACTTACAAAATATTTATCCGACGAGTGTAATTTAAATAAAAAAAATTCTCAATCTTATTTTGTCAACTGAACATGTAAATTTCTAAAAAAAATTGGCTTATTTTGTCATCTTATTTTTATGGCATGAAATCAGGTCCTTAACCCATGTTCAAGAATTAAAAGGTGTTAAATAGTATTTTGTTAAATTAAATAAAAATAATAATGATACTCGATCAAAGTCATGTTTTCTGTTTTAGTACGTAACTTTTGGTATAAAGTAAATAATTAAACATAAAAATCTTATTAAGAGATAAAAAAAATATCATGATAACTATAAATTAATTTCTAATATAAATAATCATATAAATATTATTATTATTTAAAATATCTTGCATTCTTGTTACACGTGATATGCTACTTTATCGTTACATCTTCCTAGCACCTACCATGAGCATTAGAGAAACAATTAAATGCTTGGAAAATGGGTTAATTCTCCAGCAGGTACCAATCCGTCGTTTAACATATCTGGGTGTAAAAAGAAAAATAAAATTAAAATTAAAAAACCTTCAAAATTGTGTAGGGAAGGGCAAGGGAAAAGAAAATAAAAAATAAAAAATAATGGAATTGGAGCGTGGCAGAGCAGAGAGAGAAAAAGAAAGTTGGTTACGGGAGTGGAGAGAAAAGAGGACATGATATAAGTTGTAATCGCCCCCAAAGCACTGTTTGGGTGTGGGGAATTGCTCGCTACTCGCCAGCAAGGACACAAAGGAAAACGGAAAATGCAAAACGAGAGAGTGTGAAGGACGACACACCACACCACAACAGCACCGTCGCAGTGGTTAAATAACAGAAGCTCAGGGTGAAGGGGATGATGCATTACACGCTTTTGCTCCGATTGATTTAGATTGAAAGCTAGTTCGGTGATAGTCTTTTATCATGCTTTGTGGTTCATTCTGTGTGAATTTGCGAGATCGATTACAGCCATGGATTCGCGACTACGATAGGCTCCAGTCCTTCGCTGTCATCCTCATTTACCTTCAGGTTCCAAACGAGCCTCTTTTATTTCAAGCGTTACTTGCGCATTGTTGTCGTTAATTGAATTTTTCAGAATTTCGGAAATGCAAGATTGGGTGCGCGTTAATTGGATCGCTGGGAGCATCCTACAATGGAGTGTCGCTCGTAAATCTGGCAGTCGCGTTGTTCGCTTTGGTTGCAATTGAGAGCAGCAGTCAGAGCCTTGGCCGCACCTACGCCTTTCTTCTCTTCTGTGCCATATTGCTCGACGTTTCTTGGTTCATTCTTTTCGCTCATGAAATTTGGTGCGTCCAGTGAATTTCTTTCTTTCTTTCTGTCTTTCTTTCTTTATTTGCTTATTCGATGTAATATTGCTTGAAACCACATGGTTGAATCTCGGCTGATAATTCATGCTCCTTAGAACGGGGTATTGACTGTGGCATTCATTGTCTCTACCTTATTATTATGTGTAGATGAAGTGAAAATACGAATTGGGACAAAATTTACATGCAATTTCTTTTTTCTCTTTTTTTTTTTTTATCAGAATAGGAGTTTAGCTTTGATCATCTATGTTAACTTTTAATGCTAACCTTTTTCAGCAAGGATGAGATATGTTTCTTTCATGTGACTGATGTTCTTGTTAAAGCTGAGTTTGAAACCACTTGTATTGTTACTAGTATCATTTTGTTTCTCCATATTCCCTAGATTTTATTCCCGATTTTAATTTCCAAGTTTATTTGGTTTCTCTTGTTATTCTTGAATTTGGAGAGGTTTAATTTCCCACGGTGTATAGTTGCTTTCTAGTGAATTTCAACTGAAAACACTTTCGAATGAAATGTTTTCTTCTTTGGTATCCAAATATTGCGACCAATTCTTTACGATGATGATTATTTAATCTCTATAAAATTTACTGGATCTTACAATTGTTATTACATCCATGTTTCATTTGTAACAAGGCCAAAGCTTAGAAAACTTTAATTCGAGGGGAAATGCTAGACTATATAAATGTTTACTTTATTTTGGAGTATCTTATTAAAATATCTTGAAAATATAGTTGCAACATCTTAGAATATATTGTGGAATCAATTTGTCATCTAGTTGACGAAGCAATCTTCAAAGTTAATTGCAGATTTCATTACCTTAATTTATTTGTGGATTCGGCTAGTAAGGCGTAATCATTAGTATAAATATGAACTAATGTTTAACACACCATATTAATCTAATAGAATATTATTATTCAGTCTCTTCATTCCTCTTTTCCTCGCGCCTTACCTAAACTGCAATTCCAACAACATGCATCCTAGATATTATTTATCAATTTAACAAAATGAAGTTACTGCATTATGCAGTGAAGAGATTCATGTGAACCAGTTTTTTTACGTTTGTAAGAATCAAACAGTTAAGTAATCATGACTGTTTTTCATTCATATATGATGGAGAAAATTATGTGTTTGCAGGAACATTTCTACCCAGGGTTACACAGCATTTTTCATATTTTCAGTGAAACTTACACTGGCAATGCAAAGTGTTGGTTTCACAGTGAGGCTATCATCCTCGTTGTTATGGATTCAAATTTATAGGTTGGGCGCTTCCTATCTGGACACAGTTTCTCGAGCCGCAGATTCTGATTTGAGGGGTAGTTTTTTGAGTCCTGTGACACCTGCAGTAGCTAGGCAATGCTCAAATTCCAATGAGATACTTGGAGGCTCTATCTATGATCCATCATACTACTCATCCTTATTTGAAGATGGTCTAGAAAACAGATATCCAAGTGGGGTAGGCTAAACTTTACCCAGAACCATATCTCATGATTACTTTTCAGTTGGTATCAATTAGGCACTTTGTTGTGCCATTTTGTCTGCCCCAGTACTTTTTCTACTGAGAAACATTTTTATCCACTCTGTTACTTCTATAGTCCACCAATACCCTAACTTGTTAGCGGCTTTATTTACTATTGAACTGAATCTTGGTGCACAATCCAATGGTCAATAAAGTGCTGACAGGGAAGAATACTGGTGCACATTTTACTTTTTTAACTACATTGAATATCATTCTTAATATATATATTTTTTGTCTGATATTAAAAAAAGAATCTACTATGTGTACGAAATTATTCATGGACTTTTTATTGAATTATTCAGTTAACTTAGTACAGAATTCTTGTATAGTGGTACTTTATAATGTGTTAGATTATGAATATTTTCAAGGATTATAAAACTACGACTGGTTAATTCAACCAGAAAACTGAACAGGTTCAGAATTTTCATCTGACTAGAGCAAAAAACTGGTCTAAAGACAGTTGAATTGCACTGGTCTAAAAGCCTAAAACGAACTAGTTTGATTTTTTTTAAAAAGCTTTCAGTTATTTTACTGTTTATTTTTTAATAGACAAATAAAGGTCCACATCTGGATTGCTATTATATAACCTTTTACTACTTGTTGTTAAACTTATTTCTTGCAGGACGTATTACATGGTTCTTTTGTATTCATTTAAATTTCTAACATGATTTAAGGTACTGGAGTCGTCCATAGTAAGCAATTGGCACTGTGTCTTTTGTATCCCCTCTGAACAACTATCCAATTTTGTGACGTTTTGGATATAAGTAAAGGAATCTCTAGGACAATAAATTAGGTTTTACTGGCAAACTAGTTTTCTGGCTCATATCATTGAGATTTGTATTTCACTTTTTCCCTCGATACACGTTTTGTACATTTTGTCAAACTCAGACCAGCAATAGAACCTTGCCTCATTAGTAGGGTCAGCTACATGAATAACATGACATTATTCGGCTCAGTTAAAAACCTAAATTCTATTAGAGTTATTAATTAGCATGACGTTTAATAAGAACCCAAGGCCCGTACTAACTGATATTAGAGGAGGCCCAAGAGGAATGACGTTCCTAGTCAGAACATGAAGTCTGTTGTACCTAATCAGGTTTAAGGAGAGGGATAGAGTAACTAATGTTCATATGGCATGTGCAGTGGGGAGGTGCATGAGATCTTTTTTTTTTTTTTCAGAGACTGAGAATGTGTAGGGGTAAAAGGAGTGTAGGCGTCTTCAATTAGTCAGAACATGAGATCTGTTGCACCTAATAAGATTTAAGGAGAGAGATAGAGTAACTAATTGTTCGTGTGGCATTAGAAGTAGGAGGTGTATGATATGAGGTGCAGTTTGCTGGAAAATGAGTATTTGTAAGGGATGAAAGGAGTGTGTAGGGAGGTGGCTTGAATTAGTTGGGACTTGAGTGAGAATTGGGCACTCGATCTGCCCAATTGTTGCTTTCTTTGTATTTTTCTGCATTTGTATATTGTATTCCTTAAATCCAGTCCAGTTATCACCCTGATGCTTGGATATCCATTATTTAGTAGGGATAGAGAAAGATACAGAAAGACAGAGAAAGCAGGACATCATAGAGAGGATAGACAGAAGAGGAGGGAAGCAGAGAGGTCAAAGAAACTGTCTGTTCGATTATTATCATTTAGTTTTCACTCAGTTGTCTAGAATACACCAACCTACCTTAATTATAGAGAGCTATGAACTAATTGTAGCTCTCTAACTGATTAACTAACTTCATTTTCTCATTTATCTTTACATATCACAATCAGTATCTGTTTTGCACCATTTCCTGGTACCTATCAAGATCTCTCTTGACAACTTCCCCCAATGCTCTTCTTGATCACCCTCTTTTCCTTTTCACAGGACTTAAGCACGTAATCTACTCTCCCCATTGGTGTTTCCATTGTCCTTGTCAAACCAATTAATTTTATTTATTTATCAGATTCTGGTCAAATAGACTAATATTGTGCATCTAAGTGATGAAATTTCATACTTTAACTATATTTTTCTCCTTCCCTATTGAAAGATTTGTGACAAGGGGAGTTCCATTTATTGTTACTAGTCTGGTATCTGTCATGTTTCAGAGATACATTGTGCTCCTATGACAATTTTAAATTTTCAGACCATGGAAGAGTTTGTTGTCTCTTGGAATTTTCATTTCTTTTCAGGAGTGTTGGAAACTTGTCTTAATTATGGTCACCACTTGCCCACCTTATTTGCCAGCCTCTTTGGGCTTCCTTCATTGTAGCCTCCAACATCTTCACTGTGCAAGGTGTTTAGTTGCACATCAACTAGTGATATGACCAATATAGTACTTACTTACAAGTCTTTGAAAATCCTCAGCATAGGGGCTAATTTTTTGAAGTTGAGTTAGACCGCAAGTCCAAATTCTAATATCCCTAGATTTATGGTTGTATCACCTGCTTTGTCACCTCTGGCTTCCTTAATTCCGGTCTATTGGAGTTGCCTTCATTACAGCCTCCAGCACCTTCAATGTGCAAGGTCTGAGACTGTGTCTTTGGTCTCAAATTGACCAGAGATATAGCCAATGTAGTCCTTTTTATAAAGCTTTGGAAATTTTCACCATATAAATCGGTTTTGTGGGATTGGGTTCCATCTTCAAACCCACATTCTAGGAATTAGGCCTTGATTATAGGGAGGACTTCTGATTTCATATTTTATCATCATATTCTTTTATCTACTAATTTCTCTGTTTGGACAAACCTTTTTAGGATTTATGTCTCATTTCATTTGGTTTTAGATGCTCAATCATGACATTACCCAGAATGAGTCAACATCATTTGCGGAAGTTTCTCATAAGTCATCTGCAGGCAGATCATATGAGGCTGTGGATGTAAGTATCTTCTTATTGATATTTTCTTTTACCGTCTATTAACCTTTTACAGCGTTGTCAATCTTTTATTCTAATCACGTATATGCTAAGAACTAGAATTACTACAGTTTACCATGAATGTTTGGTAAGTAATTTACAGCATGCTGCAGATGGATGTGTTTATGGAGTTTTATAACTTCCAACAATGGTCATTTAGGAGATTTTATTAGTGTAACTTTTTTTTGGTAAATATAGTAAGATTAGGTCCTATTATGATGCTTTTAGAGGAATGGTTTAACTGTCATCCTGATTATATGCCTATAAAAGATCCTGCTATGTATATGGTGTGAAACCATCCTTTTTTACAGTTATAATTGTGTTCATTAAGGAGATTTCTACCTAGTGGGCTCCAGGTTGCATCTTTCAGGAGATTTCTTAGGATCTTTTGTTGATTTGGGATAAGTTTGGGGATTTGCCTCTACTTGGCACATGGTATTTATAATGGAGTTACTTTCATTGATGTTTTGTTTGATTGTAGTTGTTTTTAAGGTTCCATTTTCTTGGAATTTTCATGGACCCAAATAATAGGGAGACTTAAGTTTATTTCGTGACATTTTTGTTGTCTTTATTTGATTATATTGTTATAATTTTTTTATTGTTCTTTTGAATAAAAGAATTTGGATTGCTTTGGTTTATTTACTGATAAACTATCTTTTTGGCTATTTAAGCAGTCTTGTGCAAATTAAAGTTTGTTTCTGCTAATTCTCTCTGGAAGAGATAATGGTTAAGGCTTCATCTAAGGAGCAGCCTTTTGTTTGGTCTATTGAACTTAATATGATTAAATGAATGATCTTGTTATTGATAGGAAGGCTATGTAAAGCTATAGCTTATAATGTGTTGTTGCGATTGAAACACCCAACTTTTCATCTGTGATGCTTAGTCAGCAATTTTTTTTTTTTTTTTTTTGTGTCTATTCAATCAATAATTTTTATAAGAGGTCATTATAGATTTGCATAAGCATGCTATAAGTGCACGAATTCTATACAACAATTACAATTAGCTTAATGATATTTGGTTATTATTTCAAAGGTAGTAAATAATCAGTGCACATTTCAGCATCCTCGCAGACAGATTAAAGGCATTCCTTATAGATCATTCCATCCATATCTTAGTTTCTAGCCTGGTTGAAGCTATTGTTTAACTCTTTGTTTGTTCCTATTAACCAACATTGTCATTATAAAATATCTTGTACATTTTTCTATATGAATACAGTCAATCAGTGCTCCAACTATGTAGCAATTTAGGAGTTACTTACAATTATAACAAAGATTTAATACCATACCTTGTGTGGCCTGAGTACATGATGTCAATATACTCTCTTTACACTCTTGTATCATAATCAAGTTGGTACAGAGTGAATTTCAAACCATTTCTGTTCCGACCATAACTTAAAATCCATTGTACCTACTGATATATAGCGTCTTTGATATTGTATACATAGGCATTGGAAGCTTAAACAACAAAGAAGCAAATATTAGCAAGAAAATTAGATCAAAAATAGAATCGCATTAATTGCCAAAGATTAAGAAATGAATTCATAGGAGGATTTGATTCAATGATTCTATCAGCTTAAAAATATATATGATATAAGAACAAGATGAGAAGCTAAGACTGAATGGAAAAGATGAAATAGGTGTGAGAAACAAAATCAATAAAGAACAATATGAACTGGAATATAAGAACAAGAAGAATTAGAAATAGGAGAAAAGGATGAAGGAGGCTTAGGAAATGGATGAAGAGTCATGCCACTTAAAGATCTTCATCTCAAAGGTAAGTGCCATGATCAATCGCCACTTAAATATTTGGATACTAAGATGAGACTCCAAGAATGAGAGTCACTCACATAAAAAGACAATGTTCTAAGAAACACTCTCAAATTTCATATATGGTAAAAGTGTTTAATACAATGGAGGTGTCTATATATTGCTTGGCCTTGGCCGTAATTTCTAGCTAAAAGATATGCAAAAAATAAATTTAAAATTCAAAAAATTGGAGTTGGTTTGGTTGATTTGAGTGTGCCATCCTTGCCACACTCATGCTTTCCATGCCTCTTGAATCCACATGTTTTCCATGCTTCATCAAAGCAGTTGAGATTTTCATCTTCTATTTGGCTAGGAATAATTCTTCAATTGAGGCCCAAGTTCATCATTTTCTACAATTACAAATAAAGCCCAAATTATAAAGAAATAAAAGAAACTAAAATCTACTAAACATGAGCCTAACAAATAGGAAATAAAGAAATATTTTTGTGAGTAAGAGTATTGTTTCCTATCATGCTTCTTGTCACTCTACTAGAAGTAATTTATTCTTACTCATTATGCACTCTTCATTCTCTCCTCCTTAGAGAGAATTTGTCAACAAATTTGTAAAACATGCATCGAAAGAAATAAGATCTCTCACATTAAAGGTAAAACTAAAAATGTTTTCATGTGGTAGATCTAACTCATGCACTATTCAAAATTTAGAAAGGTCTATCATATCCATGTTCATAATGACTTCAAACCTTCTCAATTTTGGCTTTGACTTTTGTGAACAAATCTTTTATAAATTTGTTACTTTTCTAGAAAATCATTGCACATCATAGAGCCAAAGTTAGGAGAAGGTATGAGGTCAAGAGAAGTTATTGGATTGAATCCATATACAATCTCATAAGTAGAATGCAAAGTTGTGGTGTTGACCACTATATTATATGCAAAGCTCAACATGGGATAAAATATCTTCCCACTCTCTTAGATTCCCAATCATCAAGCATCTTAATAGTTAAGATAAAGTTTTATTCACTACTTTTGTTTGACCATCAGTTTGACAAGTAGTAAAAAAAAAAGAGTTTAGTGTCAAGTTTTACCCATAAGTTCTTCAAAAGTGACTCAAACTTTGAATATCTATTAGACATAATAATTTTAGGAAGCTCATATAATCTAACAACTCCCTTAAAGAAGAGATTTGTAATATGACATGCATCATCAACCTTGTGATATGGAATAAAATGGGTCACTCTAGAAAAATTTTCCACAACCATAGATTGAATCCTATCCCTTTCTTGATTTTGGAATCCTAAGTGCAAAATACATTGAAATATATCCATCCAAGGCAAGTTAGAAATAGGAAGAGGGGCATAAAGTCCAATAAATCTTAGATTTATTGTTTTTACAAGTAATGCATTCTTCACAAAAAGAATTAAGCATGTTTTCTTTTGTGTGACCACGAGAAATATTCATGCAAGACTTCTAAGGCTTTCAAAGCCCTAAAATGTCCCATAAAACCCCCTCCATGTGCTTCCATGATGAGTGCTTCTTTCAAATACACTAGAGGCACATAGTTTTTTATCCTTAAAAAGGTATATATCTTGTTGAAAATAGCCCTTGTGTGATCTCGTTGAACACTCATGAAAAATCTTAAAGAAATCGTTTTCATTTTGATACAACTCTCTTATGTGATCAAGTCTAATATATTTTGTTTCAATTGTATTGTATTAAGCAAGGTATTTCTTTTTGAAAGAGCATTTGCTACAACGCTTGCTTTTCCTTGCTTATATTCAATCACATATGGGAAATGTTTAATAAACTCCACTCACTTTGCGTGTCTCCTATTAAACTTACATTGACCTTTCAAATATTTAAGGCACTGAAGGTTACTATGGATCACAAATTCCTTAACCAAACGATAGTATTGTCAATTTTGCAAAACTCTAACAAGAGCATAAATTTCCGAATCATAAGTGGAATAGTTGATGTGACTACCTTTCAATATCTCAATAAAGTAGGCTATATGGTGTTCTTCTTGAAGTAAGACAGCTCCAATGCCCATGTTCGAAGCATCATACTCAATCTAAAATGATTTGGTGAAGTTAGGTAGTGTTTGATTGATCAAATGTTCTTCAAGACTTTGAAAAACTTTGGCTTGATCTTTGCCCCAATTAAATACTGAATCATTCTTTATTCTCTCATTCAAAGGTGAAACAGTTGTACTATAGAATTATAACAAATCCTCCATAGAAACTAGTCAACTCACGAAAACTCCTTACATCACTAATATTATTAGGAGTTAGTCAATCCTTAATTGCTTCCTCCTTTTCTTCATTCACATGGACTCCTTCAGAGCTCATCACAAACCTTAGGAATATATGATCCATCCCAAAGATGCATTTTTATCCATTAGCATATGAAGTTTCTTTCCTAAGAGTTTCAAGTACACTCCTTATATGATTTACATGTTCATCCATAGTCAAGCTATATATTAAAATGTCATCAAAATAAATCACAACAAAATTTCCAATGAAAGGTCTAAGCAATTGATACATTAGCCTCACAAATGCACTTGGAGCATTGATTTGGCTAAAGGCAATGACCAACCATTTGTACAATTCAAATTTGGTCTTCAAAGCGATTTTCCAATTCATCACCTTCTTTGAACCTTATTTGATTATACCAGTGTTTCAAGTTAATATTAGAAAAATATACAGAATCCGTGTAACTTATCAAGTCATCAACTCATGAAGTAAGTCAGTAAATCATCCTTATTCATGTACTCAGTCTCTTCCCAAGTTACCTCAGATCTGGAAGTTCCTTTTCTTATAATTTTGGCGAGACTTCCATATGTGCCTCTATTTTAGCAAATAGTTTTTCCATTATATTTGATGTCCCAATCTTTCCCAAATTCGAAAATGGTTCCTCACCTATCTACACTACTTTGTGAGGTTGAGTCTTGTTCGAAAGGAAAATGACTTTTGTGTCCTTTACTGCTGTTACCTAATTTATTCTACACAGAGGACTGAGTTGTCTCAATTCTAGTTTGGATTTCAGTAGTAATAATATTCATTGTTAAATTTTCTGTTATCCTTGAATATTTTTCATCAATAATCAATTCTTAATTATTTTAAAACTTAAAAAATTGATGTGCTGAAATCAGTGTTAATTCTGTGTAACATTTCCTATTTTCTTTCTAGTAATAATGTAAAATAATATATTTCTATTCCTTATGAATTCACGGCCATGCATTGAATCTTAAGTCTAGTCTATAGTACTCCGCAACAAAACGGAGGCTAAACATAAAAGATTTTTAATTTTCACTCTTTCATATGTTCATTTTGTGTTTGGGTTGATAATATTAAATCTTGTTATTTCATTAGCTGCATGGCCACTAACTGGATCAAGTTTCCCACTCTACTCAACTCTTTATATTTTTCACTGTATTAGTTTGGCTTATACCTGATCATTCTGACTTTTATTGGTCCCATCCTCCAATTGTAGCATTTATCTTATTTTATGTGAATGACATAACCAAAGCTGGGAATAACAAAGTTAACAACGAACAATTAAAACAGGATTATTCATGCTTCCCTAGTATTATTTTCCCGTACTGCTGCCTATATTTGTTCTCCACACAAATACAGTCTTAATTGAATTAGCTCGTTACCCTTGATATTTCCCAGTTTTGTCTTTCTCCAAAGAAAGGAGTTGATATTTAAATTTTCTTTCAGTTTGCTCTTGTTTGGATTTTATACTTAATATGTCTACTGGCATTTTGGTCCTCAAAAGTAGCTACTTATTTGCGATCGGTCCTTGTCCCTGCAGGAAGAAAATGGTAATCAAGAGGGAAATCGTTTGAAATAGATCCCCATAAGCATTGTTCTCACTGTGGGAGTGGGTCTTGTACCATATGCAATTTTGTTGGCAAGTTTCTCCTTGTGAATGTTGAAACGATAGGCGCACTGACTGGTACATCCTATGACAATGATATCATGTTTTCCCTTGAACCAAGGAAGCCATTCAGGTTATATGCCAAAAAATTTGGGTTTCACGTAACTGACAAATCTGCAAATGGGGCAAGTAAGCAGTTTTGCTACACTGCACTCTAGTTGCCTGTTGCGTATATAGCTCTAGGTGAACAAGAATCCTGGGGATGTATTATCTTTTTTCCAGGGTTCTATTTTGCTTTTTGTTTTTCATTTTGCAGTGATTGATTAGGGGCCAGTTAGTAAATCTTTAGTTACCGAGGGAATACTAGCAAAATATTTTTTCGTTCCATTTTTTCTAAAACTAGACCATGGAAATATACACGGTACTTAAAGATACTTTGAATCAATTAGTGTCCATATTCTGTTGATGAATTAAGCAGCACATGAGTGACTGTCTCCAATCCCATCAACGAATACTAAAAACGATACACGATAATGTAGAATTTAAATTGACCAACCCAAATATATTACATGCTATTTGATGGTATTAAATAGTTACTTTTGTGTCCATTTTTACTGCTACAAGATATGATTGTGTTCTAGGTCACATGATACGGAATCTTCAGCCATCATTTCATGAGTCATTATGACATCGGGTTTATATAAATTTGAACATAAAACTATGCATGACGTTAGTGATAAGCTAAATTATTTTTATCAAGTGAAACTGAACTTTATATAATTTGATTTGTATTACTCCAGCAATTAATAAGTATTTAATTGAAAAAAATATATTCAATTAAAAGGTAAAAAATAAAATTTTCAAAGATAATTTGAATATATGTTATAGGAGACTAGTCTTCCAACAAATCATTGACATTTATTCATAAGAATTAGAAATTCAAACAAATTATGTCATACGCAAATATTGAGAGGAAAAACGAAGGAGGACTGGGAAGGGAATAAAGAGTATATTTGAACAGCATCAAATTATATTCTTGAATTCTATTTTTAGAATGCATAAAAGTACATTTCCCATACTTATATTTGACACTATTTAAACATTGTTTCTGGAAGCTAAAACAGATATCTTAAACAATATCAATAATAAAATTTAATCATGAAACAATGATTCTAAACTCTCCATAAAAAAACTAGTTGGTCTGATAGAACAAAATTTCAATTGTTTAAGTAAAGTCTAGAAGTTAAACTTTATTAATAAGAAAAATATGATTGGAAGTAAATATTCTACATAATTAGATCTCTATCGAATGCAGTCACCAACAAAACTGATAAAAAAGACAAAAAAAACTTATAGAACCACTAGTGAAACAAAAATTAACTAAACTTCAGAGGGTTTGAATAGAGAAAAGGGTGCAAAAAAAATATCCTGTTCCATCTCCCATAGACATCCTAACCGAGGTCCACACTTCTCATTATTCCTCATCCTGTATATCTTTTTTCCTTTTTTGCCTGTAAATTTCTATTTTTTTAATTATTATATAATCAAGTTTCCTTGCGTAGTTGAAATAGGTTAATTTTACCAACAACTCATTGTTGAAAATAAAATGGAATAAGCTATCCCGCTGGATTCATTATGAGAACCGCGTAGCCAATCAAACCAAGAAAAGCCTTACACTAGTCAATCAAAACAACTTTTAACTGTAAAAATTCAAAATGCAGAAGTCGGCTAGTTTTTTGGTTCACCAAAAGCCTCATACAAAATCTTAACAAATGAAAACAAGTGGCTACTCGCCACAATGATCAGGCGAATATAACAAAGAAACCTTAATATGCAGTACGTCAAAAGAAAGCAGGAACCATCCTAATAAATTGTTAATGGAAGTTTGCATCCAATGTAGATTCAAGATGGTGTTATAAGACCCTTTGCACCATCTAAAAAAATTGCCAAAAAACAGAACTCCTCCTAATGGGGTGATCATTTCACAGTCAAGATCTTGATGACAGATGCAGTGCCCACCCGATGCAGTGCCACAATTGAATCCCCATTATGGCAGAGACCCTTGGACTTGGCATGTTGCATGGCAAATTCTATGGCTTCTTCTGTTGTTTCAGCATGAGAAGCTCTAGCAGAAGCTGCACTCAATATTGGAACCAATCCACGGAATATCAGGCTATGTCTTGCAGGGGACTCATCACTGCATGCCCAGTCAAAGGTATCAGTCTTGAGCTCAGGAACAACTACAGAAAGAATTGGCATGCCAGGCCTGTATTTAGCCACCAACTTTGCAGTACTCCCTCCTCTAGTTAAAACCAATATAAGAACCGCTTTAGCTGAGTTAGCTGTTCGGACAGCGGAAGAAGCTAAACTCTCCAATGGGCTCATGGGTACTGGTGAGTGTTCCATAATCCTTTTAAACACATCCCCATAGTCAAGGGTGCTCTCTGCTTCAACGCATATTTTAGCCATAGTTCGAACAGCAAGTTCTGGATAAGCTCCAGCAGCTGTTTCACCACTAAGCATCACACAGTCTGTGCCATCCAGAACTGCATTGGCAACATCAGTAGCTTCAGCCCGGGTTGGCCTGGGAGATTTGATCATTGACTCCAACATCTGGGTTGCAGTAACAACAGGTTTTCCTTGTATATTGCACTTATAAATCATAACTTTCTGTGCGAGAAATATCTTCTCTATTGGAATTTCCATTCCCAGGTCACCACGTGCCACCATAAATGCATCTGAATTTGCAAGTATTTCATCAAAGTTTGCAACCCCTTCTTGGTTTTCAACCTGTCATGTACATTTGAAGCAATGGACAGAATAAGTATCCAGAAACAAGTAAAGACAGAGAAATGATATCAACACACTTTTTTTTTTTTTTTTTAAATACTCTTTAATAAACTTGAGTGAAACCCACGTGACATCATGACAGCAAAAAAATTACTAGGACCGACATTGATTTCATCCAATAATGGCATGTTAAAAAAGAATGTATCATATAAAGTGTTGTTAGCATTCCCCTTAAATGTAACACTATATTAGAGATAGCAAATAATAGGCACTCATGATTGTTTCTTTAAAGAACATAACAAATTTGTTAGATGATATCCTATAACATACATTAGCAAGGATGCAATAGGCATCTCAAGGATATCACAACCAATTCAGACCACTTAAAACATTTTTTAATCCAGATCTTGAATCTCTTTTCTTTTCTATAAAAGAGAACACAACACAATACAACATACCTTAGACATGAGCATAATGTTCTTAGCATGTTTTCCCAGAACTTTCCTGACTTCCACCAGGTCAGAACCTTTACGTACAAATGAAAGAGCAATCATGTCAATTTTATTGGGAACTCCCCAGACCAAGATATCTTCCTTGTCTTTCTCTGTCAAAGTTGGGAGATCCACTATCACTCCAGGCAAATTAACATTCTTCCTCTCACCAAGAGTGGCAGAGTTCTCACATCGACAACGAACCAAACCCAAATTTTTATCACAAGATAAAACTGTAAACGATATGGTGCCATCCGCACAGAGTATGACACTCCCAGGCTTCACATCCTCAGCCAACTTTTTGTAGCTCATACAAATCATGTTTTCATCACCCTTTATGCTATAGTCAGTGGAAACGGTTATTTCATTACCTTGTTTCAGTTGGATAGGCTTACCATCCTTGAGAAATCCAGTTCGAATCTCAGGCCCCTACAACAACGTAGATAGTCATTTAAAATGAAAGAAAATCTTGATTATGGATGATATTTCAAAAAAAAAATGGTCAGTATGGTCCGTAAAACAATACCAACGCAATATCAATCAAAAGGATAGGATCACGGCATATTCATCTTGACAGGAATTATCTAAATACTACAAAAGCACAGGGTTACAACACAATTAGGTAAAAGCACCTTGTTTACAACATCAGAGCTTATCTTAGTGTGAAATTGATGTCATACTCCATTTTAAGGAACAATATAATATATCAATAGCCTGACAAAAGGTTTTAGCCAAAAAATAGAATTGATTTGAGACATTGATAAAGTGAGTATCCATTTTTGTTCAATGCAAAATATCATGGAGGTCTAGGGACCTTAAAATATAAGAGCATGGGTGGGAGGTCACTAGAGATTATTAGATACAATCGCGATTCTCCAAAACCCAATCCAAGATTATAGTAGATTTGATTCGTACAAGATTAAATACTGAAATCTCAATATTAACCTTCCTCGCACATTTCACTTTCACGCACACACAGAGTCAGATTAGACAATAGCAATCGCTCACAACCTATTCCCATAAGAATCAGAAAAGTAGCACTCATCAAATCAACCGTCAGATTTCTATAAATATAAAAATAATCGGCGAGGAGAACACACATATAATATTAAACATAAAACATATGCATAAATAAAAATAAGGGGAAAGTAGGGATTATGAAATACGAATCTCGTGCCTTGGTATCAAGCATGACGGCGCAGAGAATACCGGTGTTCTCCATGGCAGCTCTGAGGTTATCGAGGGTTTCCTGGTGGTATTCATGGGATCCATGGGAGAAGTTGAAGCGAGCAACGTTCATGCCGGCTCGTAGAAGCTTCTCGACCATCGGGACGGAGCGCGATGCGGGTCCCAGCGTGCACACGATCTTCGTTTTGGGTCTCTTCTCTGCCACCTCCGGCGTCGCCATCTCTGCGTTTCTGTGTATCGCAATCAACGAAAGCCACACTCTTTCTTTTCCACCAAAACACACGCAAAATAAGTAGACAAGACAAAAAGGGGTTCAGATGCGAATCTTGTGCTGTGTTTTATGCCCCCTGCGATGCTTTTTTATTTATTTTTTTATTAACAAAATTTTGTCACTTTTTTAGGAACACCATCCACATAATATTTCCACACAAATATTCTTATGCAGTTGCATAACAAGTTTAGCGCAAAAAAAGTTATTTTATTATTTAAAATATTATATTAATT